AGCCTTCTGGTTAGCAGTCAAATGCCTTGGGTACTACACTGCCAGAGCTCCTACTTAGGGGTTTACCTTCCCTTCCCCACCCTGGTAACCTCAAAGAATATTTCTTTTTGTGTAAAAGGCTTTTCTTCACTTTTTACAGTAGTGGTCTCCTCTAATATTGGTTCGTTTGTGGTTGACTAATTTCACTCAGCATAACATACTCTAGGTTCATCTATGTTATGAGATGTTTCACGGATTCACCATTGTTCTTTTCATAGTATTCCACTGTGTGTATGGACCGTAGTTTGTTTAACCATTCTTCTGTTGATGGGTATTTAAGTTGTTTCCATCTCTTTGCTGTTGTGAATAGTGCTGTGATGAACACGGGTGTGCATATATCTATTCATCGTGGCTCTTATTTCTCTAGGATGTACACCAAGTAGTGGGCAGAGCTGTAATCTATGCAGAAACAGATCACCAGGTCTTTTCTTCTGCAGAAGCTGCTGATGGGTTTGAGCCACCGTCCTTTTAGTTAGGAGCTGAACGCTAACCATTGTGCCATCAGGATTCCCTTGGCTCAGAGTAGGGTTAGTAAATGTGTATTTATAAATGAAACCTCAAGATGTGCAGTGTTAGTGATGCAATCAGATTCCACATGTGGCAGGGATGTCACTCACCCTCTCCTCGTCCTCTCTTCTTCCCGCTCTCTGCTGAAATGCTTCACAGGCCAGAACTGGTTTCACTCTCAGGCAGGCCATGGCTCAGCCACCTCAGTTAAGGAGGGAGTTAGGTGGATCAGGGTTTAGATAAAAAGTGATACTGTATGCATGCGAGTAGAATCAACAGCCCCACAGAAGGGAGACAGGAATGTTTATCTTCCCAACTCCCCAGAGCTGTTCAGTAGCTCAAGGGGCTACTGGGGGAAGTTTCGACGTCCCTGTTTCTAAGGAAAGGCTAGGCAGATGACAGGAGTGCCTGCGTGGTGGAATGAGTGACCACACGCAGCTAATGACTGACAGCTTGGTGGTTTGAGTCCACCCCGAGGCACCACAGAAGAAAGGCCTGGTGACCTGCTTCTGATATCTCAGCCATTGGAAACCCTGTGGAATCCAGTTCAAATCTGACACACATGGGGTTGCTGTGAGTCAGAAGCCACTCGATGGCACCTGCTTAGGTAGATGGCAGACTGTCGGCGATGCTACAGAAGAAATTCCTAGTGCAGGGAAGATTGATCAAAGCTGAGGATCCCTTCCAACCTTAAGAATTGAGGTCTTTGATCAGCACTTCAAAGACTGATTTTTTATTTGGGCTCATCTATGTATTGGGCTTACCTGTATGTGTTTAAGGAGCTCTGGTGTTGCAGTGGTTAATGCATTCAGAAAGTCAGCTGTCTGAACCCACCAGCCACTCCATGGGAGAAAGGTGAGGCAGTCTGCTTCCATCAGAGTTTACAGCCTAGGGGGCAGTTCCCCTCTGTCCTCTAGATCACTATGAGTGGGAATCCACATGGTGGCAGTGGGTTTGCATTGGGTTTGGGTCTATGCCAATCTGTATGCTCATGTTTGGGCAGTTTTCTCCTCACTGGTGATTATCCGTGAGAGCTGGCAGGGGGAATCGAAGTTGGGCCTTTCAGGAGGTGGTGGTTCTGCTTTGCCATGAGAAGGATGAACTTGACTCTGGAGCCTGAGGTCAAGTCTGGAGGCCTGCTTCTCATTTTAATCATCCTTCCTTTCCTGCCTCTTCCTCCCACTCCCACTGACCACCAAGCTCTGGCAGGATAGCATTTGCACAGTTTTTCCTTTTGATGTCTGTGTAAATGCTAACATCTTAAAAATAGTAATTTCATAATATTTGCTTACTTGGAGATGAAAGCACTCAGAGAGGCTCTAGCTCTTATGTCCATTTTGCAAATCATTGCCTGTTGGAATTTGAGGCACACTGTTCTCTGCTCAGCATCAGCTGAGGAAGGCTGACCAGTTTTTGCTTTAGGTCCAGGGCCCTTTGCTCCATTATCCCTCATGGGCCACGCCACCAGCATTGATCTTATGTGGAGGACACATTTGGCTTGTGCAGTGGAGCACTGTGCTGCTCTGCACCAGGGCTGTAGGCCAGGTCCCCTGGGATGTTTAGAGCAGGCTGGCTCACTGATGAACTTCTGTGACTTTCCCTCCAAGAGCAGTGCTCCTGGGGACAACAGCATCTGCTTTATGGTGCGGGGTGGCACCTTTTTCTGCCAGAGTGACAGATGAAGAGGATGGAGTGGATCTGAGCAGGGTTACAGAGGTAGACTGGACCAGGCTCAGTAATTAGTTGAATAGTAAGAGAAGGAAATGTGTAGGATAGCCCTCAGGCTTCTGTCTTTGGGCAATGAGCTGGTTTTGCAGAAAGACAGTGAGTCTGAATTTATTTATTTTGAAATGCCTATAGAGTATCTCTGTAGAGATGCTGAGAAAACTTCTATCTATGGATCTGGAGAGGGACCGTAACTGGATGTATAGATCCAACAATCAGCAGTGCAGAGAAGATCATTGGAACCAGGCAGAGGAACAAAGCAAGGACAGAACCTTGGAGAAGGCCAGCATTCAGGCATTAGGCCTGATGCCATAGGGTTCTCCAGAGAAACAGAGCCAATGAAGTGTGTGTGTGTGTGTGTGTGTGTGTAAAGAGAGAGAGAGATTGAGAGACACAGAGAGAGAGATTGAGGGACACGGAGAGATTGCTTTACTGAAAGGCATTGGCTGACTTGATTATGGGTGCTGCCAGCCAAAAAGTCGATGGTTTGAACCCACCAGTTCCTCCACCGCAGAAAGATGAGGCAATATGCTCCCAGGAAGACTGATAGCCTTGGAAATCCTATGGGGCAGTTCTCCTCTGTCCTATAAGGTTGCTATGAGTCAGGATTGACCAGACAGCTCTGGGTTTATTGTTTGTTTTAAAATACCTCCAGAGCAACACCTAGACTTGTGTTTGACCAAGCAGCTGTGCACATGGCTGAGTCACTATCGTGGGTGGGGCACAGATCTCCCGGAGCAACCGAGGAAGGTAATTCAGAAAGTGAGAAGGGGAGCCTGGGGACAGCAGGATCACGAGGCAAAGTGGAGAGAATGTCACAGCGAGGGCATGGTGGCCGATGAGGTCTGAGGAGAGAGCCTGGTGTCACTCCAGGGGTGCTTTGCCTGGAGGCTCACAGAGGCCTGAGACGTGAATGGGGGGCAAAAATGTGAAGGGGTTGGGGCTTTTCTGAGAGGGAGAGTAGGCCAGGGGCCTATGAGAAAGCAGTGCAGTGAGTGTGAAGGGACAGGGAGAAGAGGCGGGCCTTGTCATTTCCTGCCCCCCTTTCCTGCTTCCCTCACTCACCGGGAGGCCTGAGCGCGTGACTCGAAGGTGCCATTGAGTCGAGAAGTCCGCTCGCCCATTGCTGCCGCCCTTGACGGGCAGAGGTGCCGTGCTGCGGGCCAGCGCCTCTGGTGTTGATGAAGAGATGAGCCAGTGGGACGGCGGAGTCGGGGTGGCTGCTGAGACCTTAATAGACACAGTGATAGATCAGACCCAAGAGACACACAAAGAGGTGTGCTACAATGGTCAATAAAAACAAAAGGAAGTGCCTGGAGCTGCTTTTAGGTGCTGTCAAGTAGATTGTGAGTCATAGTAACCCCCCATGACACAGTACAACCACTCCGTAAGGTTTCTAGGCGTCATCTTCCTGGAAACAGAGTGCCAGCTCTTTCTCCGGCAGAGCTGCTGGTTGAGTTCACACTGCCAGCCTGTTGGTCAACAGCCTAGTGCTTAACCATTGTGCCACCAGGGCTCTAGAAGCACCTGCGGCCCGGGGTGCTGGTGATGACCTTCATTGCTCACAGCCTTCCCGCAGCGCCAGTGCTGTCATCCTCGTTTTACTGATGAGAAAATCAGGACTCAGACAAGCTTTGTGACCTGCCTGAGATCCCACTGCTGGTTGAACTTGTGTCGTCTGAGCCCCAGCACCTTCCCGCCTCGGCCCTTGTAGGCTGCCCTTTGCTCCCTGCTTCCTGCTGCTCAGCACGGCTGCTGGGGTGCCAGGCGGGGCCTGGGAGCAGAGCTGGGCTTTCTGCGGCACTCTGCCTTCAGGACTGACAGCACGTGGTTTAGAAGGATGCTTGTTCATGTCCTGACCAAGAACAAGGGTGCGCCATTCATGGCTGCCTGGTGGCCCATCTCGGTGGGCCCCTCTGCAGGCCTGAACAGGCACCTCCACTCCCCCAAGTGCTCAAAAGCACTGTCAAACTGGCAGATGAGGCTGTGTGCCTGACTCCATGTCTTTGTTCTGTGTTTACTCATGGGGGATGGGGGGGCAGTGCCTGGAGTTCAGTTTCACAGTGGATTGCTTTAAGCTGTGGGCTGACCCATGGACACTGCGGAGGAAGTCCCTTAATGAAGAGAGCCTGCGCATCGGGGAGCTGTAGGGGGAGATGCTGCTAGAGGCACTCATTTAAGAAAAGGAAGAGTATCATTCACTACGTTGTTCTCTTCTTGAACCAAAACCCTATTGCCATCAAGTTGATTTTGTCTCCCAACAAGGGCACCGGTTTCAGGGTGGAGATGTGCTCAGTCGGGCTGTCAGGGGTCAGGCTGTCAGGGGCTGTGACCTGACAGAAGTAGACCGCCAGACCTCTCGTCTGTGCTGCGGGAGGGCGGGGGGCTCGAACCACCAACTTTTTTGATTAGTAGCCGGGACCAGACCATTTGTTCCACCTGGGACCTCTTCCTGAACAAGAGCTGCAGAATTGGGGGTACACAGAAAGAAAAGGACATGAAAGCAGCCCCTCAGCAGGGGACTCCTGTCTGGGGAGCGACTTGCCCCTGGTCACTTGGTTGGTGGCTGCAGAGGCAGGACTCAGCTTCTCAAGGTCAGCGTGTCCCCTTGAAACACCTCGCCAGGAGGGAAAACTTTTCTGGGCGGGGCCAGTCCTGATTTTTCCTTTGGGGGTGTGGCCTCAGCTGGGGCACGCCTGGCTCTAACTCCTCCTCCTCCTCCCCTGCAGCCCTTCCGCTGTGCCCACTGCCATTACTCCTGCAACATTTCTGGCTCCCTGAAGAGGCACTACAACCGGAAGCACCCCAATGAAGAGTACGCGAATGTGGGCACCGGGGAACTTGCGGCCGACGCACTGGTCCAGCAAGGTGAGAGCTCCCAGCCCCACGGCTCCTGGCCGGAGTCCTGTCCAAAGAACCGCTGGCCTCTGTGGTTCAGGTCTAAACCGTGACTGCCGAGTTGTTACTGCTTCGTCGTAGTTAGTGCCATCTTTGTTGTTATTCAGCATCCTTACTCACTGCCTGGATGATACCTTGTTAGCTTTAATAGAAATCCAAACTGAAAGGATTGAAAATGGACCCACAGATTACACCACCCCAACAGAGTGCTTTGTCCATGAACGCACTTTCTTTGATAGAAGTTCATGTCATGAGCCTTCTTTGATAAACGTTGTAGCATGAACATTGTCTTTTATTTTGGAAAATTGTCATCCTCATTATAATATTTTTAAACTGTTTTTGGGTTGTGATTTGGGTGAAGGTTTACATGGCAAATTAGTTTTCTATTTAGCAAGTCACACATTTTGTTTCATACCTTTGACTGCCATCCCACAGTGTGACAGCACTCATCCCGCTTCCTTCCTGTGTTTTCTGTTCCTCCTCCTCTTCTATCCCTTCTGCCTCCTGAACTTTGCCTAATTATACTTTTAAAAGAGGAAGGTAATACAGCATTGAAGGGAATAACCCCTTTATTTAGCCATCAGTGGTGCAGTGCCTAAGGCATTTGACTACTAACCAGAAGGTTGGTGGTTCAAACCCACCAGCTTCTCTGCAAAAGGAAGATGGGGCAATCTACTTCCATAAAGATTTACCACCTTGGTAACCCAATGGAGGTCACTATGTTTTTTTGTTTTTCTTTGTGGGACTTTGTGGGGTTTCTGATTTTCCTTTCTGCATAAATGGTTCCAGGTGAGCCACATTGAGAGGGAGCCTCTCTGGAGTATCTAGAACTATGTACCACCTACTCAGGTACTTACTCATCTTGAAAAAGAAAACAATTCAGAGCATTTACACTGAATGAGAATGGGGGGAAACCTCTAATACCATTGCAACAGATTTTTGCTTCTTTATCAATAATTACATATTCCCGCTTGCGAGGGCTCAGTTCTGGTGCCGTCACTGTGCAGAGAAACACTGTTGTATTTATATACACACTTTGGCAATTCAACTAAGAGATGATTACACATCCAGTACATAGGTTGCTGCTCACTCCCAAACCCTGGGACTGTTTGATGCAGAAGACCGTTTTGGAATTCTGCAGCCAGGCAGCAGAGGTAGGAGATGTTAAACTCTGCCACAGCTGGGAAGGCTTGGAGTGTGCCGGCTGGCTGCAGCTGCCACCAGCGCACCTTAATGGAAAACAGATGAACTGACTGTACCCTCAGCACTTGCAGTGACAGGGCTGATGTACGGCAATAGATGAGCAGCAGGAATGGCTCCAAGTCACTTCCGCGCCGTCTGTCTGGGCGAAGGGGTGCGTGTGCTTTGTGTTTTCTTTGCTGGCAGTTTTAGGAGCTGGAGAACAGGATGGCAGTAGAGGACTCTGGCTCAAACCTGCTGCCTTTTGTAGCTGCGCCCTCTGGGCCCAGTTACCTGACTAACCTTTCTGCCTGTCTTAGATCTCTCATGCTTCAGTAACAGAAATATCGCAAGTGGATGGCTTTAACAAACAGAAATGTATTCTCTCACAGTTTGTGAGGCTAGAAGTCTGAATGCCAGGCACCAGTTCTGGGGGAAAGCTTTCTGGCTCTGGGGGCTCTGGGGGAACTCCTTGTCTCCTTTTAAGTTCTGTGGGTCTGGCAGTCCTTGGAGATTTCCATGTGTCTTGGCATCAGTCTTCCACAGGGTCTGGGAGGCCCTAAACAGGGACACCAGCTCCAGTGATGCACTCTGTTCCTGGCTCCTCTTTGTTGGTGATAGTCGAGTTCCTTCCTCCTCTGTTTGCCTGTCTTTCTTTTTATCTTTTGTAAGATCAGAGGTGATGCAGGCCATATGCAGAGAAACTCCCCTTTCATCGGATCTGATGAATGAGGGTGACCTGAATAAGGGTGTTGTATCTCACCCTCATCCCCTTACATGGCCTGATAGGCTGATCGTATCAGATCACATCCTGGCAGTTGATTACATCATTACCTAACTGCCAAACCACTGAGAATCATGGCTCAGCCAAGTTGACACATATTTTTTGGGGACACAGTCCAATCTGTGACAGTGTCTTAGGCCCTTTGCCGGTACAGTGGAGTTCACAGTGGCTAGACACGTGATGACTGAGAGGGTTAAGTGAGAGAAATCAAGTGTCTGGTATTCGGTACAGTTTCACGCCTTCCTTTTTTTTTTTTTTCTGAAAATATCTGAGACCTTTGTGCCCACCGCATTGTTTTGGATGACCTCCTTCCAGAAATCACAGAGGAGTGAGTGGATTTGCTTAGAGTCTCAGTCAGAGGCTGGAGTGGCGGGCCCAGGGACCTGTAAACGTCCTTCACAGTCTTGGGTCGGATAGGCAAGAAATAGCCATTCACTGTGGTTGTTGGGACAGGTGGTGGGAATCTGACTGATGATGCTGCGGTTGCTGTGTTGCCTCCGAACCTTCCTCATCACCCAAACGGGCTGAGGTTGACCTATTTCATGGCTTTGGTTTCACTGAACTTTCTGAGATTGTCCATAGTCAGTCGGTGTTCTCTGACCGAGGCTCAGTTTTACATTTATTCTCTGCAAGGAGTATCTTTGGTCATCTTCTTTCAGATATATATATCCCAAACCCACCCACTGCCATCAGGCAATTCTGACTCATAGCGACACTACAGGACAGAGGAGAACTGCCCTATAGGCAATCCAAGACTGTAACCTTTACGGAAACAGACTGCCACACCTTTCTCCCACAGGGCAACTGGTGGGTTCGAACTGCCTGTCATTCAGTTAGCAGCTGAGCGCTTTAACCACCGTGCAACCAGGGCTTCTTAGTCATGCATATGTATGTTTGTTATATGTATATATATGTAATAAACAGATACTGGTAGTATAGTATAAATACATCTTTATTTTACATATGTATTTCCCCCCATTCAAATGGACAATGAGGGAGACAATGTTTATTTACGTCATTGGTTCTTCAGGGCCGTGGCCAGTGTGCTTTGGTGGCAGCACAGTGTCTGGAATCTGGTAGCTGGTTGCATGGGAGCACAGTTCAGCACAAAGCTCGCACTGTTCTCGTGCCCGGGAGACGGAGGGGGGATGGAGGGAGAAAATGAGACCAGATTAAATTACTGGGTTGGAAATGCTGAACTGTTTGGTACCAGTGGAATTTTTAAATTTCTTTTGATTAATTTCAAACAGTTCTCCCCTCCCCCATTTGAGTTTATTTTTTCCTCTCTACTCACTCCTGAAAAATATCTTCATGGGCCTTTATAATTCCTTGTTTTGATATAGAGGGATATGTGTTAATGCCAAACTAATAAAATAAATCTTGAAGAATGTAGTTTTCTTAGAATGGTAGTATACTGTCCTTAAAGCAGGTGCAGGGTTTGAACACTGTCACCTCTGTTTAAACAGTGTCCTTGTGACATGTGCAGAGCTATGGCCGCTGCGGGGCAGGTTATCTTGCTCACGGTGCTGTAGGGGATTCTGGGAAGTGGATGGAGAAGGTAAGGGAGGTGGCCTAGCAGGAGCTGGACTTTTCCCAGATGGGACATTTCTGTTCTTTGGGGCTCCTGAAGGAAGTTACCATGACTTTCCCATGGAGTTTGGGTTACTTTCAGCGGGTTCCAGAAGTTTGTTGGGCTCAGGTGTGCCTGGTTGCATGCTGTCCATGTCTAATCTAACAGCTGGCTCTCTGGGGACAAGATGTTTGCCAATTTCTGTGGTGTAAATGCTCCACTGTGGCCGATTTTAAGCCAACCCACATGACTTCACTGTATGTGGACTTCGGAAGATATGTGCACAGTTTGTGTCCCCGTCAGCCAGGCCCCTTTTTGGGAAACAGCAACTCTCTCAGAGCGTTGGTCCCTTTCAATAACCAGAGTTGCATTGAGCACCGTGTACATGTTTCCCTGCCCGCTTCTATTTTTTATATCTGATCCTTTGCAGGCAGAGAGGTTGGATGATCTGGTGTATCCTCCCTGCCCATCACTTGTTCATGACTGGTTTGAGGCACCGTTCACACAGATGCACATTGTCATGTTTCAGGAATGCAGAGTTGCACCGCTCCTGGGGGTCTCCTCCTCCTCCTCTTACCATGTTCCCAATTAAGCTGGCTTCAGGGCTGGCTCCATCAGGCATAGGTTGGAGGGGCAGATGGCGCTGCTCTGATAAGCATGTCTAGTTGTTGGCTCCCTCTTAGAGGTGGGATGAAGATGAGGCCTAGGAGTCTGGTCATTTCCCAGTGGCCTCTTGTCACTAAAGGCTTTTGGAGTGAGCCCAGGGCTGGGGGTCAGAGGATCCTGGGTCTCTGTCTCTCTGATCACTGTTGTCCTTGGACCAGTTACGGAACTTCTCTATACCTCGGTTTCCATGCCTGCAAAGAGCAGCGATGCATATGTCTCCCCAGTAGTTGCAGAGGTTAGGTCTTATTCTGCAAGATTCCCAGACAGTGCCTGACAGGTAGGAGGTGCTTGATGAATGCTATTGTTGTTGTTGTTATGTGCCGTCGAGTCGGACCCGACTCATAGCGACCCCACCTTGGGTTTCCAAGGCGGTATCAGTACGGAAGTGGATTGCCCAGCCTTCCTTCTGAGGAGTGGCTGGTGGGTTTGAACCTCCAGCCTTCTGGTTAGCAGTCAAGTGCCTTAGGCACTACGCTACCAGAGCTCCTGTTTGATAAATAGTTCACACTTATTATAGTACAATCTGCAAAAGCCAGAACCTGTGTAAGGCAGAAACCTATCAGAGAAGGAAAACAAGGTATTTTCTATGAAAAAGTGTTAGAAGAGTGGTCAGACTGTGCCCTGTCAAAGGCAGAAAACATGCAAGACCTGGACAGACAAGGCCATCCCATCGTGCTCCAGCCTCACAGGTTTCACTGTATTCCGTTCATTCACACGGTCCCTCTTTCAGCACGTATTACCCACAGTGTGCTGAGCACTGGGGTGTTGGAC